CCGCCCTCACCATTGGCCCTCTGTGTCTCATCCAAGCCATCGCCTTCATTCGTGTATTTAAGGTCTCTATGTACCAGGCAGAACACTGCGTAGGAGCTGCGATCCAAAGAGAATAATCATAGCAAATGCTACTGTAGTAGTCAGGGTTCTCTAGAGGGACAGGACTAATAGGATAGATGTATACATAAAGGGGAGTTTATTAAGGAGTATTGACTCACACGGTCACAAGGTGAGGTCCCACAATAGGTCGTCTGCAAGCTGAGGAAAAAGGAGGCCAGTCCAAATCCTAAAGCTGAAGAACTTGGAGTCCAGTGTTCGAGGGCAGGAGGCACCCAGCACGGGAGAACGACGCAGGTTGAGGCTAAGCCAGTCTAGTTTTCCACGTTCTTCTGCCTGCTTTTATTCTGGCCGTGCTGGCAGCTGATTAGATTGTGCCCACCCAGATTGAGGGTGGCTCTGCCTTTCCCAGTTCCACTGACTCAAATGTCAGTCTCCTCTGGCAGCGCCCTCACAGACACAGCCAGGATCAATACTTTGTATCCTTCAATCCAGTCAAGTTGACACTAATGATAACCATAACGCTTGTCATTTACTGAAAGGTTTTGTTGGGCTTGTGAGGGGCGAGTGCTTTGTGACTTTGGCACAGTCCCTGCTCTCAAGGAGCTCACAGTCAGGAAGGAAAGAAACGCAGGTGGAATTTCAGCCTGGAGTTCCTGTGCTGCCCTCAGGAGTGCTGGGCCTGAGCTGGCGTGAGGCTGCAGGGCCCTTCCTGGAGAGACTTGAGGGAGACGCCTGGGGGAGTGGCTCAATGGAAAGGTCGCTGGCAGGGCGGCATCTTCCACGTCAGGATTGTCAGGTTCTCTTCTGTCCCCAGAGAGTGGTCCTGGGAGGCCCTGGCCCAAGCAGGACCTGCTTCTGGGAGGAAGTCATTCAAGGCCACTGCTGCACAAGGGAAACTGTGGCAGGACATTTTTGTGGCCGCATGAACAATTTCTCCCCTCTTTCCCTTTTGCCCATTCAGAGGGGCCGTTTGCCCTTCCATCAGGGAAGGGTGAGAAGGGGTGGAGTGCAGGAAAAAAGAGCCTTCCAGACTGTGTTTCCGAAAGCTTTGCCCTTAGGGCAACAGAGAGGGTCTTGCCCTGTCTCCCGGGCTGGAGGGCAGTGGTACAATCACAACTCACTGCAGCCTCAACCTCCCAGGCTCAAGCGATCCTCCTACCTCAGCCTCCTGACTAGCTGAGACTACAGACGTGTGCCACCATGCCCAGCTAATTTTTAATTTTTGTACAGATGGAGTCTCACTATGTTGCCCAGGCTGGTCTCAAATTCCTGGGCACAAGCGATCCTTCTGCCTTGGTTTCTCAAAGTGCTGGGACTATAGGTGCCTGCCACTGTGCCGGCCCAGTCCTGTGCTTAATTTTGGAGCCAGAGCCTCGATGGGGCGTGGGGGTCTCTGACCGTGCAGAAGCAGAATTGTTGGGGCCATCACCTCCCAACCTCATGCTTTTCAGTGTCCTAAGCTTGAATTGCTGTCTCACCACTGCCTGCGGGGTAGTCCTGAGCAGGCTGTTTCACTTCTCCGAGCCACAGTCTCTCCCCTGGGAACCAGGGAAAATGGCAGCCTCTCCCTCATGTGGTTGCTGTGAGGAGGGGTAGGAGGTGAGTCTAGCAAAGCGTGGTCCACAATTTCCAGCTCCTTCTCCCTCCTCACCTCCTTCTTCCCCTTCCTTCCTTTCTGCCCCTTGCTTCTCTGACCCTGAGGACGCAGGGGTCAAGCCTCACCCTGCCCTCTGCTTCCCTACTCCCTTTCTCCCCCAGCAGCCAGCCCCAAGGATGCGTTCCTTCCGTCCCCGATCTGCTTATTAATTACCAGATCCATGTTGCCTTCCTTCTAAGTTGCAGGAGGACCTCTGAAGATGCTCTGAAAAATCAACTGGCAAAAGGCAGATTAATTGGAGGAAAATCATACAAATTTATTTAACATGTGTCCCCAGGAGCCTTCAGAAGGCAGACCCAAAGATAGAGGGAGAAATTGTTCATTTTTGTGCTTAGGTTCATCAAAGTGTGGGCAGCTGTGTAGAAACATGATTGGACAAAGGGTCTGATCTAATGTGAATAGACTGAGTGGGGAAACCCGGCCAGGCCTGTCTGTCTAGTTTCTTCTCGGTCTCTCTGAGCATGAAGTCCTTCCTTCTGGGCGTGGAGCAGGGTCCTCTCTGGAATGGGGGTTTCATGACCTACAGTCAAACGATGATCCCTTCAGATCATTTCTTTACAGCCAGTTTCTACACAGCAAGGCAAGGGTAAGTTAGAGTAATGTTTTTAGGTTTTATGGCTGACTTGGGGAAAAGGGGTTCTAGTTCCTATGACTGGCTTTGGGGAGAGTGGGGCTGAGAGACACGAAAGCAGGAGAAGGTCAGAGAAAAACTTTTGCTTCTGAGGCCTTCATTTTCGGACACCGTTTTCTGAGTCCCCACACAGGCCTCTCTTCCGCATCCTCCAGGCTGCAGCTCCAGCACCTCACGCCGTGCTGGCAGCAACAGACACTGGATAAGTATTTGTTTAGTAAAATCCAGCAGTTTGGGTTGCAAAGAGGAAGAGAGTAAAGAGCAAGGAATAAAAGGCCAGAAGGTCAGACGCAGCCTCTGCCACAGTCCCCGCCAGCTCCGGGGCTTGTCCCGTGCCCAGCCAACACCCAGTCATCGCCCAGCCAGTGCCCAGCCATGCTGCCCCAGGCGCTGCTGCTCTCCTTCTGTGCAGCAGGTGAGGCCCCCGGCCTGGAGGAGGGTGCCTGGCTCCATGCTCCCCAGGGCTGGAGGCTGAGGGAAGGCGGCACTCCCCTGAAGTTCCCAGATTTCCAGGTTGGAGGGGAGGCAAGGTAGAAAGAAATGAATACTTTTCAACCCTCAGAACAGGGGTGGGAAGGGAGCTTCGCCCTCATCACCCCTGACCAGACAGTACTCAGTCAGCACCCAGAAGGCAGCAGTCAGAAACAATGCGGCTCCAGCAGCTTCCATTCTAGCGGGGCTAAGACATTCCTCAAGGAGACGGCCTCGCAGGCCACTTCAGAAGCGTGTGTGATGCAGGGAAGAACATCACCAGGGTGTGGACAGGGACGGGCATTGTGGGGGTCTGTGGACCAGGGGGCGGCAAGGGTTTTCGGAGGAAGGGAGCCGTGGGTGAGTCTGAGGGAGAGAAGGAGCCGCCAAGACAGCCAGGAAAAGCCCTGGCTGGGAGGGTGGCGGCTGCTGATGCGGGTGGGAGGGGAGGGCGAAGGGCCCCATGGCTGCGGCCCAGGTGGCAGTGGGCGGTCGGGTCTTAGGCCCTCTGGCTGCAGAGCGGGGGTGTGTGGGGACTGCCGAGGGCAGAGGGGCCTCGGCCCAGGTGTCGGCAGGCACGCAGAGAAGGGCGAAGTTCAAGGCAATGGAACTGACTAGAGGCCACAGAGAGACAGAGGTTGCCACCAGGGCTCCCGGGTGGGGCTGGAGAGGCCGGTGGGAGGGGCACCCTGCATGGCGCTGGGGGGCGGGGGTGGACACCGCCCTAAAATCAATTATGTGGGCCACAGCCAGTCATTAAACAAAAAAATAAGCAGAATGCTTTTCTCAGCGACAGGAAGCATCCTCCGCTGTGGTGGGTGTGAGGAGCTGGTTCTCCTTGGCAAGTGCCTCCTCAGCTCTGGCCCCTGGCTTTGCTGCCACGGCCTGTGCCCAGCTCCTCATTCTCATTCTCCTCTCCTGGGGCATCTAGCTTGAAGGGTTCCTTGTGTCCCGGACCTCCAAGGTCCTAGCACCAAGCCTTTCATTCCTCTCTGCCTCCCTCCACAGGCAGACCCAGGGCAGAGCAGAGCAGCCTGGACCAACCACATTTACTGGGACCATGGAGTCAAGGAAGGAAGGAACACAGATCTTGGGGCTTAGGGTGGCTTCCTGGGAGACGTTTGATTTGCTCATTAGTTCCTCCCTCCCCTTCCTTCCTTCCTTCCTCCCTCCCTCCCTCCCTCCCCACCTCCCTTCCTTCCTTCCTTTCTTCCTTCCTTCCTGTCTTCCTCTCTCCCTTCTCCCTTCCTTCCTTCCTGTCTTCCTCTCTCCCTTCCTTCCTTCCTGTCTTCCTCTCTCCCTTCTGTCTTCCTTCCTTCCTTTCTTCCTCTTTCCCTTCCTTCCTTCCTTCTTTGCTTCCTTCCTTCCTTCCTGTCTTCCTCTCTCCCTTCCTTTCTTCCTTTCTTCCTCTCTCCCTTCTCCCTTCCTTCTTTCTTTCCTTCCTTCCTTCCTTCCTTTGTCTTCGTCTCTCCCTCCTCCCTCCCTCCTTCCCTCCCTCCCTCCCTTCTTTCCTTCCTTCCTTCCTTCCTTCCTTCCTTCCTTCCTTCCTTCCTTCCTTCCTTCCTTCCTTCCCTCTTTTTCAATACATTGAGCCCTTGTGGTCAGCATTGTGCTTGGCCCTAGGAATATAATGATGAATACGGCTCGTTCTTTGCTCCTAAATTGCCTATACCAGGTGGTACAGATAGACAAACAAAAAGGTCTCTTCCCTGAAAGCTTTTAAAAAATTCTGATGCTAGTCCCAGCGGCAGATCTTTGCTCTAGGGTGGGTCTGGAAATTGGTGTATTTGAAAAGCTCCCTAGGTGATTCCAGGGTGCAGCTCTGGTTATGGGTCCCCGATGGAGGGGCAGTGCCCTGCCATGGATATGGGCCTGGAGCTGGGAGCCTGCCCAGGGTTCTTGAGTCTGGGCTGTATTCCTTCCCACTGGGTGGCCTTGGCTATGCCTCTTTAACTCTCTGTGACTTGGTTCCTTCATTTGTAAAACAGGCAGAGTGATGCCTTAGGCAGCTGGAAGAATCCCGTGAGCTGATGGCACATGGCGGGTACTCAGCAAGCTTTGTCTGTCGTTATCAAGCACTGACAAAGGTGCACTGCAGCATATAGGAAAGGCATCTCACCTTTTCTGTAGAAAGGATGGGGCAGAAGGGTGAGGAGTTAGCTGGGCAAAGGGACTGGGGAGATGAGGGAATGGGAGAATAGGAATTGTGGGTTGAGGGAGCTGGAGGAGGTGGCTGGCTCTTCAAGAACAAGAGAACAGCTCATGCCAAGGCTGGGAGGTAGAGCTGGATATGACTGATGGGCCAGCGACAAAGCACAGAGTGGGCAGGAAGAGGCTGGGAAGTCCCACCAGGGTGTGGCTGAAAGCTCTTTGAGGGCTAGGGGCTGGGCTGGGGACAGCCGTGCTGTGACAGCCTCTCCTGCTCCAGCCCTGCAGCTGGTGAGCAGTAAGAGGGACTTGGTTCTGGTGAAGGAGGCGCTGAGCTGGTACGACGCCCAGCAGCACTGCCGGCTGCACTACACAGACCTTGCTGACCTGCAGCCAAGTGACCTGTTGAATCTCTACTCCCTCATGACCAGCACCCAGGCTTGGATTGGCCTCTTCTTCGACGCAAGTACTTCTGGCCTGAGATGGTCCAGCGGCTCCACCTACACAGCCCTGGAGTGGGTTCCGACGCTGCCCGAATTCGGGGTGGGCATCTGTGCCACGCTGTACACTCGGCTGAAATTCCCCTCCATAGGGGCCAACTCCTGCACAGCCCAGAATCCCTTCTTCTGCTACTATGGTGTGTTCACATTCATATTTCAGGCTTGGTCTTCCCCCTAGGGGCCTCGCTCTGTTGCCCAGGCTGGAGAGCAGTGGCGGGATCATAGCTCACTGTAATCTCCAACCCTCGGACTCAAGTGATTCTCCTGCCCCAGGCTCCTGAGCAGCTGGGACTACAGGTGCCTGCCACCACACCTGGCTAATTAAAAAACAAACAAACAAACAAACTTAATAGAGACAGGGTCTCACTATGTTGTCCAGGCTGGTCTCAAATTCTTGCCTTCAAGTGATCCTCCTGCCTCAAGTCTCCCAAAGTGCTGGGATTATAGGCATGAGCCATTGGGCCTGGCCCAGGGTTGCTTTTCAATAGCAAGTGATGGGGCAGGGAGAGAGAGAGAGAGAAGCACCCTTTCAGAGGATAACTGGTCATGACTTTACTGTTTTTGCAACATCACTTTCTCTCTGTGGCCTCTGTTTCTATTTCCTCTGCATACCTACTCTGAACACCCCATTAGAAAAAATGGGTGTAAGTCAGGATAGAATAAAAATAAAATCTGGAAAGTTCCTTTCTTGCCAGTTAAGGATTTGGAGGAAGGAGAAAAAGAAAGGGAGCCAAGAGGGAAAGACAGGCTGGGGTTCGGGGGATGCATGTGTACCTATGCAGAAGCAAGAGCAGAATTCAGTGTCTCCTTCTCAGAAAGCACAGGTGGACGGTTAGGGTCTCAGAGCTGGGCAGGAGGGGAGCAGCCGTCCTCTGGGAGATCCCCTGCTTCCCGCTAAGTGGGGAGCGGGAGCCAACTCCTCGGGCATCGTTGCGGGAAATCCACCATCGGTACGCCATGCGCAAGGCTCCAGCTGTTGGAGAACAGCAGCCGCCTCCTTGTGTTCCACCGGGCCCCTCTCTGTCCCGGCTACCAGTGCCTCTGACTCCTGTCTTGTTGCTGTTGGGCAGATCATACGTGGGCTGGTTGTGGCATGCACAGCACTTGCCCGGTAAGAGTGTCACTTCCTGCTTTTCCCTCTGTCGGCCACGGCTCAATCCAACTCTGTGCCATCCTCACCTCTCAAATAGGGTTATGGAGGACCAACCTCACATATGCCCAACACAGCCACATGGCGCCTGCCCCGGGACCTTGAGAAGTAGCAAGTGGTGGCTGCCTAGATTTAAATGCTGGGTTCCCAAGGGAGCAAAGAGATTCCCACGGGTGGTAAGTGTGCCTCGGACCAGGAGGCCTGCAAAGGGAGGGGTGTGCCTATGGGGTTGTCCCCTGCTCCCCACACTGTCCCCACACTCCACCAAGATGGGTCCTGACCCCTCACCTCTCTCCAGTTCTGCACCTCTGCTGCTAGCACATGGGGTCAAGTCAGCGCTGTCTCTCCTCTGGGTCTGCCCTTGCCCCCTAAAGTCTGTTCTCTACACAGAGTGAGCTTTTAAAAAGGTTAATCAGATCACTTCCCTGTAAACAAAAGAATCAGTAGGCCCTGACAGCACTTAGAATCCTGTCCTTCTTTAGCCATCGGGCCTCGCCTCCCCTCTTTGGCCTCATCTCCTACTCCTGCCCCAGCCACATGACTTCCTTCGGCTCCTTCTCACTGCAGAAGCTTTGCTGTGCTCTGCTTGGGCAGCTCCTCCCACCTCTCTGCAAGATTTGCTCCCTCTCATATTCTCTTCAAGAGCAAGGACTCTGCTTGTCTTATTTCTGTCATTTTTCCCAGGGCGTAGAATAGCGTCTGCGACCCAGTAGGTGCCTAGTATTTATTGAATGGATTGAATCAATGTAGAAAGGGATGGACGAGCCTGTCTGCCCCCGAGCTAGGTTTTCCCAGCGGTAACTGGGCAGCTCCTGCCTGCAGAGGATCCTGGGCCTCCCCGTAACTCATGGTCTGTTTCTGTTTTACAGACCCTGACGTCGGGCACCTCATCTCCACGAAGCCCTCTGTCGGCCTGACCACCTCTCCAAAGCCAGGTACACACCTGCTCCCCATTCCCTTTTCTGGGAATTTGGCTTGTTTTGCCTTGGACCTCTCCATCAGGACCAACCAGCAGGATCCCCACCCCCAGGGCCCCTCTGTTCCCCTGACTCTTGCCTGGCTGTCCAGGAGGGATTTCCAGGCTTTGCTGTCCCCTGACTGAACCCCACGGAGACAGTCATTGTCTTTATTTTTATTTTTTATTTTTTTAAGACATGGATGGTCTTACTCTGTCTCCCAGCCTGGTGTGCAGTGGCACACTCACAGCTCACTCAACATTCCTGGAGGGTGATCCTCCTGCCTCAGCCTCCTGAATAGCTGGGACTACAGGCACATGCCACCATGCCCAGCTAAGTTTTTGTATTTTTAGTAGAGATGGGGTTTTGTCATATTGCTCAGGCTGGTCTCGAACTCCTGGGCTCTAGCGATCCACCTGCCTTGGCCTCCCAAAATGCTGAGATTACAGGTATGAACCACACAGCTGGCCATTGTCTTTATTATTCTGATGGGCCCAGAGGGGAGGGTGACTGGCTCAAAGTCTCCAATCAGAGACTGAAATCAGAGAGTGGATGAGCCCTTGGCTGCAGCCCAGCTGTCACTCTGGGGTTGGGGACTGGGTGGTTTCTCTTCACAGCCCAAGTCCATCTGGGGGAGGGGGCGGCTTCTCTGAAATAGTCCCCTCCGGTATTACTGCCTTGGTATCTTTTAAAAAGTTTCGTCCTATCTGATACGGATAAGTTCTGTGACAGAGGCGATATACTCACTCACTCTGCTCTGAGGAGTGGCTTTTCTGCATGGTATGGAGTACAGAGTTGTAGAGTGAAGATGGCGTGGGCTTCCCATGTTCGAATCTCTAGTATGGCCCGAGTTCGGGCAGGTTGTCGCCTCCCTCAGCCTCCTTCTCATCTGTGAACTGAGGTTAATGACACCAACTTCTCAGGATAGTAGTGGGGTTTTCAAAGATGACACAGGCCACATGCATAGCTCAGGGCTGGCACATACAAGGGGTTTAATCAAGAGTAACTTTAAAACATCAGTTGAGATAGGGAAAGTGTTAGGGAAATTGGAGGCAAATCTTGATGGGCTTAGGTGAAAGGCCCATGTCCAAGTTTGGGAGGCTCCATTTGAATCTGAGGATGTGACTCCCGTCTCGGCAAACAGGAGTGTTTCCTCTTCTGGGCCCCCAGAATCAATGCCTCAGGCCGAGTCCCAGCCACTCATATCGTTTCCAATCTTCCATTGTCTGGAATCTCAGATGTGTGGGCTCATGTGCTGCAAGATGGGACAGGCCCGGCGAGGAGCTGGGTAGGCTGGGCTTGTCCTACCTCAGGACCTGGCCCAGTCCAGCCTCGGGCAGGGACTGGCAGAGGTGGCTGTGGGAGGCCGGCATCTCAGTCTGTCCGGCTCCCCCGGAAGGCAAGGCCACTGAGCCTGCTCCGCCTCCTGTCTACCGGGCCCGTGCCTCCAGGCTGGCCTCTTCTCCCTGGCTCTCCAGGCACGGTGAGCCTAGGAAGATCACACTCTTCCTCTAGTCTGCTCAGTCCTGAATTCGCCTGAGAGCCAGTGGGGGCAGGCACAACCCCTAGAAATCATACTCGAGGGTGACCCCAAACCAAGATTATTCTGTCTTCCTCATAATCTCCCCCGAAATGGTCACTACCATCTTGCCAAGTGCTTACTATTAATATATCACTGTGCTAAACCATTTGTATATGTGATTTCATGTAATCCTGACCTTAGGTACTATTATTACCCCATTGTATAGATGAAGAAATTAAGACTTAAACTGAACTTGTGAGGCCATATAACTACACGAACTCTTAAGCCCTGCTTTCCCTAATGTCTTCCTCACCTGCCGCTATATCTCATCCATTCTTCCTACTTGGTATTTAGTCTACCTATAAAATTGTTGTTGTTTTGATCAAACCTAACACTCAAGGACGAGGGACAAGGGCCCATGTCAGACCAGAATTCTATCCCTAAGGATGATGAGGGCTGGGCTGTCAGAGACCCAGACCCTCAGGCCTGTGAGCTCCACATTCTCTGACCCCAGCTGTGGTCCAGATTGGTGGTCAGACCTTCACGCGATTTGACCAAGTGATGACATGGTCCTCGGCCCTGCTGTACTGCCGCAGCCACCACACGGACCTGGCCGACCTGCAGATGGTGACAGACAAGACAGGCAAGGAGGCCTTGAGATCCATCATGAGTGAGACTGAAGCCTGGATTGGCCTCTACCTCAATGCGAACTCTGGATCTCTGAGCTGGTCCAGTGACCTGGGGGCCAGCATCCCCTCCTGGCTGCAGGTGCCGATGATGGTGAGAGGACTGTGCGCAGCTCTCGGCATCTATATGACCTACTCCCCAAGAGTGTACTCAGTGAACTGCTCTTCCCCGCTGCCCTTCATCTGCTTCTATGGTGAGTGAGAGTCTGCTCTTGCTGGCCCTCGGCCCACTGAGGGTAAAACGAGGTGGGAAATGGGTTTATTTGGCAGCAGGTGATATTGAGGATAGTTCCAAGGAAGCACTTCTAGACTCTGAGGGAAACTGAGTTCTGGAGCAGGCTCCTGAGAACCTTGCATTATAAACTTGTGAGGAAGTTGTATTATTTTAATTCTGGGGATCTTTAAATAATGGAACAGACTCCATCCAGGCTGAGGGCACTGGCAATTAGCAAGAACAATTCATTATTGGACAATGAAGTTAAAAGTCTGAGCTTTGGAATCAGACAGTTTACCACTTGCTAGAAATAAGGTGGGCAGCATCTTGGAGCTTCCTTCTCCTTATCTGGGAAACCTATTGAACAAAATGAATTGATGGCACCCACCTTATAGGATGGCTTTGAGGGCTGAGTGAGAAAGTGAATGTAAGGCGTAGAGTAGAAACCCTGGCACAGAGTGGGCCCCTGGTGGATGGGAGCCACTGTCATTGTTCTGTCCCTGTGAATGCATGGGAGCCCAAGCCTGCCTGGCACCCGCATCCTGTGTGATGGGCGTCCTTCTGCCTTGCTCTTTCCTTCTCTCCTTTCCCCTTCCCCCACCTCTCTTTTTTGTAAGTTTTATTGAGCTATAGTTCCCATCTTAAAATTAACTTTTAATTTTTAAATTAATTAATTAATTAATTTTTGAGACAGAGTCTCACTCTGTCTCCCTGGTTGGAGTGCAGTGGCATGATCTCAGCTCACTGCAACCTCCACCTCCTGGGCTCAGGCAATTATCATGCCTCAGCGTCCTGAGTAGCTGGGATTACAGGTGCCGGCCACCACGCCTGGCTAATTTTTATATTTTTAGTAGAGATGGGGTTTCACCGTGTTGGCCAGGCTGGTCTTGAACTCCTGACCTCAGGTGATCCACCCGCCTTGGACTCCCAAGGTGTTGGGATTGCAGGCTCACGTGAGCCACCACATCTGGCCAAAATTTACCTTTTTAAAGGGTACAATGCAGTGGCTTTTAATACATTCATCACTAATCTAATTGTAGGACATTTTCATCACCCCCCACCCCAAAGAAACCCCTTACCTGGTAGCAGTCACCCCCTCCCCTCCCCGGCAATCACAGACCTACTTTCTGTTTCTGTGGATTTGCTTGTTCTTGGCTGTTTCTTTTTGTGTTTTGGATTTGATGAGACACATGATCCTTATCCATAAAGACACTCTTCCTCCCTGAGGGGCTGCTTGCTGTGAGGATTGGAGATATGTCTCCTGCAGGGATTGGCACATGGCAGGTGTGCAACAACTGTGCCCTCCTGAGTTTGACTACCATGATGGGTAACCAAATGCGGGGCCATCAGAGCCTGGGGTGGCTGCTCACCTGCTGGGTGTTGCAGACTCTGCCCTCACACTCACTCTGTTTTCTTGCAGACCCCTCCACTGGACACCGGGCATCAGCAGAGTTGCCTCCACTCTTCCGCACTTCCCCAACTTCCCCAACAGAAGTGACAGAGGAAACAACTTCCAGGCCAGGCAGAGGTGTTTTGAGCCTGTCCTTGGCTGGATCTGGGTCTTCAGGGTCTGGGGAAGTGGCAAGGGTGGCTTGCAGGCTGCATAGGCCCCTCCTAGAAGGGCCAGTGAATGCCTAGAAAAGGGGTGAGCTAAGGGGGCAGCAGTCAAGGGCCACTTATACAGACGGGAGTTTCCCTCTGCTTCCCACCCTGCTGGTCCAGCCAGGGATGGGGGAAGGAGGACTGGGCCACATCAAACTCCCTTTTCTTGGAATTGGGCCACTGAATTTGCAGCTCCAGGGCCAAGAGACCCAGGAGAGGCTGTACAGTCTCTCAGGTGAGAGGATGAGATCCTGGCTTGGGAGACCAAGGGGAAGACACCCGAGCAGTACTCCTGAGGAGGAATCCTCAGAGAGGTCCTGAGGCTCAGCATCAGAGGGAAGCACTGCAAAGTCCCTCCGAATTGCAGGCTCCTCTGCAGGGAGAGGATGAGGGATGAGCTGTTGTCATTATGTGTGGGGAGGTGGCTGGGAAGGACAGTGACCGCATTCCTATAGCACTTTAAAATTCCTGAAACATCTTCACAGCTATTACCTCATTTTACTTCCCAAGAGTTCTGAGGCTAACTAGAATAATTGAGGGCAAAATCACCGTTTTCCTGGCCTTCTTACAGATTCCTGTGTCACACAAAGGGATTATTGCCTTTTTTGAGCACACAGAGAAGTGAGGGCACTTGATCAAGGTCGAGCAGAGCCTCGTTCATTCACTCGTTAAAAAGTGTGGATGGAATCTTGTGCTAGCTCAGGCACAGCCACCAGGCAAGATTTTGGGGAGGGAAGGCTTGTTCTGAAGCTTCTCACCGCCAGCTGGGAAGAGGCTGGTGCTTGGTATAGTCACAGGTGTGGTGGGGACACTGAGAAGGGGAGCATCTCGCCCCTATAATTGTCCAGAGGATTTCCCGGAGGAGGTGACTTTATAACCATCGGAAGGATGAGGAGGATTTAACTTGCAGTGTTGTGGGGTGCGGGGCTGGGTGAGGACTGCAGGTGGAAGGAGCTGCAGGTGGGGTGGGGACAGTCAGCACTGGAGAGTGTGGGAGCCCAGATCCTGCCGGCCGGGCCCTCTGTGAGTCGCCAGGGACCTCACCCTGAAAGCGATAGAGCCCAGGCCGGCCGTGGTCAGATTTGGGTCAGAAGCTGGGTGACAGCCTGTCTTCTTCTCATCTAAGTCTATCCTGGCACCTGCCTGGCTGCCCCAGGCTCACCGGCCACCTGGGCCGCGCTATGGGGTTCAGGAGGCCCTCCCTGCTCGCCCCTGTCTGCACTGGGTTGGGCAAGGCCAGGCACGGAAGAGGCACAGGCCCGGGGAGCCACCGCGCGACGCCACTCGTCACTCGTCGGCGCCCTCGGCTTTGGGAGGGGTCCTGGGCGCAGCGGACCCCACAGAAGTCTTCTCTCCGGCCCTAGGGACCAGCACCGGCCTCGTGGGCGCCTCGCGGGGCCCGGCTTCAGCCGCGCGGCTCACGCAGAGGGGCAGCCTGGAGCCCCGCGAGCCCGGCCCCCGCACCCCCTACCGGCGCGCTTCCGTCTCCGCGGGCTCCGCGGCCCTCCAGCCCCAGGGGGCGGTGACATCCGGCCCTCCAGACAATCTCGCGGCCCCGGGGAGCACCTTGGTTCCCGGGGAAGGACCCAGGAAGCCGGCGGTCACTGTCCAGAATGGGTCTTCGCACCCCGCACCCTCGGCGACCCAGCCCCCCAGCCCTGCTGCGGCCTCTTGGGGGAGCCTCTCTGTCCCCCAGGAAGTAGCTGCGACTCTTCTGGCCTCTGCTTCGAGCCCCACGCTCGACTCCACCCGCGATGCCCCAGCTACTCCCAGGATAGCAGCACCCCCTGGGTCTGCCACATCCAGCCGGACCAAAGAAAGCATTTCGGACTCATTTGGCTCAGGCAGCCCAGCTGTGCCCCAAGGGACAACTGCACCCCCTGACTCTGCAGCCCTGAGTCAAAACACCCGCCCGGAGGCAGCTGGGAGCTCGCCAGAGACCCAAACAGGTGCCTGTACGCGTTGCTGTAAATTAGGACCTCCATCCCAGGCAGGCCCAAGCACCTCGGCGAGTTCCTCTTTTGGGGCAACCAGGCCTGCTTCCATGCATAGGGTGCAGGCCAGGGAGTTGAGGATGAGAGGTGGAGTGTGGTGTGGGGGCGTTGTGTGCTGGGACACAGTCTCCCCACTCCGGCTGCATTCCGGCGCATTCTACAGGGGTCCTGTCTGGCCAGAGCCAGCTCACTGTCTCGTCCTCCCTGGGTAATTTAGGATGGAGATGGAGGTGAAGTGGGGTGATCTGGGGGAGAAATAATCCATTTTGGTTCTAAAAGCGAATCTGACAGTCAAGAGTGGGAATATATTGGCTCCAGTACCTACTGTGTGGTCTTACGCAATTTTCCTAACTTCTCTGAACCTTATTTTTCTCATCTCTCAGTGCCTGGCATCTGGCAGACACTCAATAAATGGTAGTTATTACCATTTTAATCTCAGTTCTCTAGTGAAATGTTTAGTGACTCATTCCTTCTCCTACCTCTCTCCTTACCTTAATATATGGGGCTGGCCTCATTCTCATTTTATTAATTATAAATGATTACAATTATGAATTATTGAGATTGCAGAATCTCACAGGGCAGGGGCTGTTCTGTATTTCTTTGTATCTCTCTGGGGACTAGGATAGTGCACATTGGTAGATAATTTAATTTGACAATAATTTCCTGAGTACTTGTTTTGAAGAAGGCATTGAACTGTGGATACCAAGATGAGCAGGGCTGTTTCCTGTTTTTAGAAGCACATGGTCTCCTAGGAACTAATGGAGACCGTCAGGACAGTTTGGAAAGTGCTGCACCAGAAGTGTGAACCAAGAGCTGTGGCAGGAAAACAATTCATTTCATTCTGCCTGGAAGGTGGTAATAGGATAGAAGGTGTAACAATGGAGGATTTCATCTGGCAGAAAAGTATAGAAAGTTCTTCCTGGCAGAAGGAACAGCATGGGTAAAGACAGATGTCAAACTGTATGGTTTGCTAGGGAATGACAAGCAGTTTGATGTGACTGGTGTAGGCCACATATTGGGGAAGGGAGTGGTAGGGGATGAGGAGAAAGGGGTACACTGGGGGCAAAATCTGAAGGAGTTGATCCCCCAGCCAATGGAGCCATCAGAGGTTTACAGCAGGTGAGCAAAATGCTCAGATCTGCATTTCCAGAAGCAAGGTGCTTAGGATGATGTAGGACAATGCTTGTATTAGGGTGCTAAGGGAAAAAAGCATTATCAACATTATGTACATAATACAGTCACAACAAGGCTGAAAGGAAATGTCAATGCTTAGGAATCAAGTCTGGAAGAAGATGTGTGACAATGTTAACAGTGACTATATTCACGGGGATGAAAATACGGATGTTCCCTCCTCTTCTGTGTTTCTGAATTTTACACATTTATCACTTTATTAAAGAAATTAATGATGCTTTGGGTGGGGAAAGAGGCCTTTGAAGGCACAGCCAGTCAGAAAAGGAGAAACAGGAAACGTGTGTGTGGGGAAATAATATTGCACAGTCTGGGTAGGTGGAACCGAGGCCTGCTGTGGAGCACTGGAGTGGGAAGGGACATGACAGGGAATTGATTTTACATTGTTCACGAGTGACGTTAACTGAAGTACCAATACAAATACATTTTTAAAAATGCTCAGCTTTGTTCACTGAATCACACAAATGCAAAATTTATAAAGATGGTTACTTTTTATTGCTTTTTGTTTTGTTTTTGTTTTTATAGACAAGGTCTCACTCTGTTGCCCAGGCTGGAGAGCAGTGGCATGATCATAGCTCACTGCAGCCTTGAACTCCTGGGTTCAAGCGATCCTCCTACCTCAGCCTCCCAAGTAGCTAGAACTATATGCATACACCACCATGCCTGGCAAATTTTTTTTTAAAGACAGGATCTCGTTATGTTGCACAGCTGGCCTTGAACTCCTGGCCTCAAGTGATCATCCTGCCTCACCCTCCCAGTGTTGAGATTACAGGTGTGAGATTACAGGTATCCAAAAGATGCAGTTTTAAAATTTATTTTTGTACTTACCAGTGTAGCAAAGATTTGAAAGGTGATAATGCTGAGAATGTGGGAAAAACAGTGATCTTGGCACAGTAGGTATGCCGACTGGGGCTATTACTCTGGTATCAGAATTTGTGTCAGTTTTAACATGTGCATAATCTTTCATACAGAAATTCTACCTTTGGAAATTGATTAAGGAAATAATAATATGAGGTACACACATACATATGCACCCTCCACACACAGGGCTGCTTGTTGCCGCATTGTTTATTACAGTGCAAAGGTGGAAACAACGTCATGTCCACTGAAAGCAGACTGGTTACATAAGTTATGGTACATTCAGTGAAATACTACTAAGCAGCCTTTAAAGCAAACAAGAGAGATCTTTACACATTCAAATTAACAAATTCGTGAGTGTGAAGGCCCTTCTACAGCAAAGTGTTAATCATGGGTGTCCCTGGGTTGGGGAGGGGATAAATTTGCTTAAATATTTTACAATAATATATTCCAAATAAAAGGATTATTTCCATACTTGAAAGAATAAAAAGACATCTGCAAGGCACTGACAGGACTTTGGTGACTGAACATGAGAGCAGGTGAGACGGAGCAAGGGAGCCACTGAGGACACCAGGGTCTCTGGCTGGAGCGCCTCCGGGCATGGCCAGCCATACAGGAAGAGAGGGGGTGCTGGGGGAGAGCCTACACTTGGTTTGGGATAGAGATGGCGATGTTCAGGGTCCCTGGGTGCCATGGTGGGGGCTTTGTGTAGCTGGCAGACAAAATAAGGACATTAGGCCCTTTGGAGCATAGGCTACTGAACAAAAAAAATTTGATGAGGAAAAACCTCCTAACATTGCCCAAGCCCCACAGATCCTACTGCCAGGGGTGCTTTCTGAAAGATGATAGTGTAGCAGCTCAAGTGCTGGGTTACAAGAGCCTGTGGGGGTGAGTCAGGGATTGGCAGGAATTGAGCTTCCCACATCGCTGGCTTCTGCAGCAACTGTGTGCCTAGTAGTGGCTGTCCTTTCCTGCCTTTTAGCTCAGGGGCAATCACCAGCATCAGGCCACCTTACTCCTGGTTGTATTTGCAATAAATCTTCTATTTTCCTTTCCTGTAGCTGTGACCAGTGTAGGGAGTGGCACTGATAGAAGAGATACAGCTGCTGCCACAGAGGCCCAACATCTGAGTTCAGAATCTAAAAAAACATCAGCACAAAAATCAGGTAACTGCTTCTGTCTACCAAGTTCCTACTCTTACCAGAGGAGCAGTTAAATCTCGACAGTCACTCCTTGGCACAGGGCCCTTGAGACCTTTTCATGAAAGACAACACAAAATGTTGGGAATAGGGATAGGAATAAAGAGGTGGATTCTAGTTTATGCTCCGTGACTATTATGAAAATTTAGGGGACAAGTCTCTGAATTTCTATTTCTCTTCTGCGAAGGGGATGTGGAAAAAACGACCTTGCCTATACCATAGGGTTGTTGTGAGCACCCAATGAGATAATTATAAACTTCATAAACAATAAAATATAATGCACATACAGTCTTATTTTGAGATTGTAGTTCCTGTAATGATTATGGATGGCTCATGGGCAAAGGCTGAATTTATTTAAAGAGTCAGAGAACTTCTTTAGAATTTTCTGTGGTGGGGAGCTCAAGGAGAGGTGAGTATTTCCAGGATGGTGTGGAGTATCCACTTACTGGATTAAAATAAGGAGAAAAATACAGAGGAAACAAAAAAGAAAATAATTGCCTGACGGGTAGCCAGGCTGTGGAAGAGCCTGCATTACCCAAAGCCATGGGACTCTTTCTTCAGCCACTAATTGGTTGGTCCTAATTGTCGCTAAGCATTCTTCTGCTCAGCAGTTTCTTTCTTCTTTTTGAAATCCCAAATCGGCATGTAGCATCTATGGTGTCCACTGGGTACTCCTGACTGCTAAGAGCTTGAAATGGCAATAGGATAATATTCCCCCGAACAGGCAGCACCTTCTTTTCCAGGGCACCCTTTTGGAATCCTGAAAGCAGACTTTACCATCTCAACTCTGATGGACCCAGAAGAGATGAAAGACCAATTTCTGAGACAGGTGAGACTTCTGCCCACTCTTCTAATTCTGATCAGTCAGATGATTTGACATTGCAAGACAATCTTAAAAAGCCAATATATTAAGGTGGAAAACCTGTGGAATATGACCTCATCTTGCTCCACTGCCA